TTCTGCTCTCTATAAAATGATGAAAGGCTTATGCCAATCGCTCAAATAGTTATTCACCTTTTCTTTTCTCACGGACTTTTGGAGCATCCTGTAGATATTTGAATTTTTAACATATATTTCAAATACAGTGTAGTCATAGGAGATCTATGAGTGCTTGCATGTCGGATGTCTCAGAAATCTTATTAACCGCTAAACGAATCTATCGATTAGTTCCTATTTAATCAGTAACATCAAGATTTACTCGAATCCATTCATTAGACTGATACTCTAGAGACAAAGTGCTAGCACTTCTCCTCTGAATCGAATTGATTAATAAGATGAAAATTTCTTATACCTTTTCTTTTTCATGTAATTGTTTTCGTACATTATTTAATTCTGTTTTTAATGTATTTGCATGTTCAAGCATTTCATTATAACGTTCACGTAAAGTTAATAAATCATTTTCAAGTTGAATAATTTTGTTCTAAATATTCAAAACAAAAATATATTAATATATAATTAATTTCTTCAATTTACTTGATTATTTGAATCTTCTTGTTGATTTCGATTTCTAGAAAAGTAAAAATCAAAAAAGAAAATTAATAATAATAAATTATTTATACTTTAGTATTTGTTTTTCATTTTTTAATTCAATTTGAATATGATCATTATATTCATCTAATCGTTGAGTACATGCAAGAACATGTTTACGTAATATATCACATTTTAATTTTAATTTTTCCATATGAAATTGTACTGTTTCATCGGATGTTTCAAACTAAAAATTTTTCATTTAAAATAATCAGTAAAAAAATAACAGAATGATAAATATACTCGTTGTTCAAGTTGAATTGCTTTCTTCTCAGTTAATTCAAGTTCATGACGTACACGATCTATTTCACGTTCAAGTGTACGTTGTTCAATTGAACTATGTATTTGTGCTTGTTCAATATCTGTTCGTTGAGATTTTTCCAACTAATTATGAATAAAAAAACTTTCTTTTCAAATTTATTTCAAAATTTACTAAATATTTTAAACAATCATTTTCTTCTTGTTGTGATGCTGATTTTAATTTAAGTTCTTGTAAATCTTGTTCTGTTTGTCGTAATTGTTCAAATGTTGTTTTAATCATTGAAGTCGATGATGGATCTACATCTGTCTGTTGTTGATCTAATTTGTCATTTACAAGAGTAAATGTATATTCAAGTTTAGCACGAAGTGATTCTATTTCACGTTGTAATTCAATATTTTCTTGTTTAGATTTTTTTAATAATTCTTCCGTTCCTAAATAAGAAATACGTATGCATTACATAGATGTAGAAACTGATATCAAAACTATTGTAGGTAAAGAATTAATGTGATATGCTATTAGTAAATCAGAGTTTATGCTCCGATATTGATATCTAAATAGCGCTCTACATCAAATATTAATGAAATCTAGCGAGATCATATAACTAATTATCGGCTAATAAAGCATTTTTTTTAAAATGAAAGGTAAAACTCTGTAATAATAAACTATTTTAACCTGATAAATGACTTTCATCATTCATATGTTCTTTATATTCATGTGATGATGAACATGATTGATCAATAATATGAATAAGTCGACTTATTTGTTCATTTTTTTCGTGTACAGTTTTCTCTAATTGTCGTTGAAATTCACTTTCAAGAAAATGATTTTGATTTTCAAGCATAGTTGTTTGTTCACGAAGATAATGCACATCACGTTCAGCATAATTTATTATTTCACGTATTTGCTATTATAAATAAAAATACTTATATATATATACGTGAAGTTTTAGATTAATTTGTTATTAATTAACATTATATAAACTAATTCGAATTTATGATTGTGGTTGAAAGCTATGAAGAGTCCGACAAATATTCGATACAAGTAGATTTCGTAAGCCTGATTGATTCATTTAAGTAAAGGTTCTGACAGAATCGATAGTTTTCCTCGGGAATATTCAGTTTTTCAAACATCTCCTTTTTCTCATTTTATGATAGTAGTTAGGGATGCAACGGTGACAGTTAGTCACCGGCTCACCGTATGAATTGGTAACCGGCCTGAACCGGTAATCGTTCCATCTTGAGGGTGTGGGCATTTATTTCATCTATCACTTACGTCCGCCCCACACCCACACACACCCCTAAGATTTAACGTTTACTGGTTCAGACTGGTTATCGGTTAACACGGTTACCGGTTTAGATCGGTTACCGTCACCGTTGCATCCCTAATAGTAGTGTTTTTCTCTAAGTGATCAATACACACAACTTCAAAAGTTCGTTTAAAATAAACATGAGTAAAACTTCTGTAAATTGTTGGGTGGAATTGTCATTTCCATTATATGATCGTTATATTAAAGATTAATTAGTGTAAGGACGATATAAAGAAGAAATGGAAATTCTCATCTATCCCAAAATTTCATTCTTTATCAATTACTCTATGAAAACAACATTTTTAGAGAAAAAATAATAGTATGAATAACAATTCTTGGAATGTTCCGGAGGCGTAACCTGGATTTTGGCAGTGCTTGAGCGCACAAGAAAATTTGGCTTGTAAAGCTAAAATAGGTGGGTGGGTGGCGCCCAACCCTAATCACATCAACAATGATTAAGAGAGTTGAAATTAGGATGAAAATTTTTCGAGTCAATTTTATAATATTTTTTGTTTTGGCTTGAAGAGATTTTGTTTTTACCTTGAATGTTGACAAATTCAAGAAATGTTATTCTCTTATAATCTTAGTTATGTCTGTGAAAGAAATTACATGACGAACCTTTATTCCTTCTACAAAATCTTTATCATCTATATTAAGATCTTGAAATAAATGTCTAAAACGTTGTAAAATTGAAATCATAGCTTGTCCTTTTAACCATAATTTCATAATAATTTCACGTTCTTGTCCATCATGTAAATGAAATTCACGTTCAATTGCTTTCATAACATCTTGATATGAAAGAAGATCCTTAGAAAAAAAACACATTTCAATCATGTATAAGAAAAATATTTATTTTGAAATAAATTTTACTTTTAAACTAACAGATGTTGGACGAATTAGAATTTCATTTGTTTCTGATGAACGTGTTGATGGTGAATTAGCATGTATTTGTGATACAATTGGATTTTGTTGAACAAATTTATCCATTAAATTTGTATCATCAACCATCATGTTTAATTTTTTAGTTTGTTCATCTTTAATCTATATTAAATACAAAGGAATTTTCTTCCTAATCTCTATTCTTTCTTGCTAGATGGAAAAGTGAATGTTGATCTTTTACGAAATTTTTTTTTCTTTTTTTTTTTTTTCTCATCAGTTTTTACATACTGTATTTGTTTGCTTTATTAATTTAATATCTTGATCATCGGTATCAAATGCCTGAAAGAAAAAAAATATTTTTAACCTTATCAATTATATACATTCTTTTCTCTTTTTTTTCTTTGTTTCATTTTATAGTAAATAAAATACGATGTGTATACAAAAAAAAAGAAATTAAATAAATTTGACTAACCTTTTCATGGTGTTGATGATTGTCGTTTGAATTTGTAGAAACTAAATACAAAAAAAATGAACTTTATTATATAATGAACGTTTAAAGGCACACTTTAAAAATGAATTTTTCTTTGCACTAGAGAGAGAGAGTACACAGTGTATATCAATAAGAATAAAGAGTTGATACAAACGATTTCTTTTGTATATTATTACATACACTTTGAGACTGATATTAAAAGAAAGAATGAAGTCATAAGTTGCATAGACATTATTATTTGTTCATCTATAGATTCTTTATTGAGAAGAAGAAGAAAGAAAATGTATTATTTATCTGAATAGTTGCTATTCGATACTAACATCATCATGATGATAAGAAAAAAAGCAACAATATGTATATAAGAATAGGAATAATAGGCAAATATTTATAAAAATTGTATAACCTTTGAAATATAAGTTTCCGATGCTTTTATAAAAGAACAAATGTTTAAATATGAAAAGATTAAGATTATAACCTTGAGGAATGAGTGATGATTGTTTATGGACTTTGCTAGTGTTATCTGATAGATCAGAAGTTAATTTTTTAACTTTATGACGTTGAACTTGAATTACTGAATAGACTGGTAAGTCTTCATGAACTAATAAAGAAGGTAACGCTGGTAAAGACATATTTTATCGATCTAAAAATGAAATATATCTATGTCATATAAAAGTTATAGGTTAGTACAATAACTAGTTCTTTCTTATCATTTTTTCATAAAATATTTATCTTATCATCTGCAAACGAATAGTTACGAGTAAATTTTTTTTGTCATTCTTTATAATCACTATCATATGTTGATAAAAATCTTAATAGTTCGTCAAATATACTACGTGAGAACCACAAAACTTTAAATCTAATTACAAGAAAATCTTTTCACTATGAGAAAATATATGAACTTTCAGGAATTAGACAAGGTAGAAGATAACATTTTTCTTCGAAGTCATATTGAACGCTTTCGATCATCAATATTAAAATACGAATATTTTTAACTTGAAAATATTCTCCGTATTGATCTTAATATAATTATATTTCGATGCCATACCGTTATATTTGATTTATTTTCCAAATGCTTCGTAATTTCAATATCTTTATTCGAGAAATCAATCTTAATTAATTTTTTTCTTTTTCTGAGAAAACTAGCATTATTAGTCATAGATGCTCTTGCATCATATTCTTATATCGAATATCTGAGTTTACATCCATTGTATTGATAAATCAAACTACATGTTAACATAAGAAAATATCATATCAAAGTTGCATGCATTTATAAAAGTATGTTTTATTCCTGTAAATCAAAAGAATATCATGCTTGTTTGGAGTATATTTAAGATAGATAACAAATCAAAATCTTGTAATATCAAGAAAATTTATTTGACTTCATTTATTAGTTTTCGGTTAATCCTAATAAGATTTTATATATCACAGAAAAAGAGAATAAAAACAAAAACCCATGCAAAAAATTGTTATATTAACGAGAGAGACAAAAAAACTTATGATCTTTCTGATGAACGATAACCATTTGTAGTTTTAATTCTTGCATCATCATCATCATAGTAATTTTTTATTTGTCGATTTAGCATTTGTTGACCACGATTCGATGAAATAACTTGTAATAATTCTGGACAATTTTGTTTTGCTGCTAAGTCAACAACACTTTCTTTTTTATCATTCACCCAAGTTACATCACCTCCGTGTCTTTAAGACAAACAAAATTATTGATATTTATTAATTTTTCGAAAAATTCACTTACTGAATAAGAATTTTTAATGATTCAATACCATCAGATCCTAATAAACAAGATTCATGTAACGCTGTAGTACCTCGTCTAGAAGGAAAAAATCGATGTTATTCTTGATACTATATAAAATTTTATTTATAATACGTACGGTCCGCGTTTATCTAATTTAGCGTGTCCATCTTTAATCAATGTTTCTAAACATTCGACATGTCCATTACGTACAGCTAATTGAATGGCAGTATAACCATCTTTATTACGACCATTTGCATCTGCCTTTTTTTCTTTCAATAATCGTTTAATTTCTTCTAATACATTGATATGCCGTGATGATTTTTTATTATCACTATGATGAGTACTTTTCTTTTCAAGTAATTTGATTAAAGCATGATTTGGCTATAAGAAAAGATGATTAAAATACATAAGTTTGTAATAAAATATATATATATTCTTACACTATCTGTATCAGAGACAGTAGTGGATTGCGGTCGTTTTCTAACTTTACTTCGATGAGATTTATCTCTAGTATATTCATCTTCAAAAAAGAAAAAAATAGATAATCTTTTAAGAAGATAATTTGAATAAAACTACCATCAGAATTAAAACCACTTGAAAATGGTAAACTACGTTCGTTGTTCATAACATAACGTTGATTTGTTTGATCAATGTGTAACGATGGTTGAGAAAGATTTTCCGGCTTACGAAATACGCTTCGTACTATTATTTGATCTTCAGTTTCCTCAACAGTTGCATGAACCATTTTACCCATACGAGGTTCACCTAAAAGCAAATAAACATTTCTCGTTATTCATTCATAATTTTCTATTATCTATAAAGATACATTAAAATTCTTTGAATTTTTAAATCTTTAGACTATTACCAATTAATGATCGAAATTCCGGTCGATTCGTTGCATAAGCTTTTAAATGAGCATATACATGATCTACTTGTTGTTTCCAATATCCTTTTCCAGGACTAGCTGATGTTAATACTGGATATCGTTCTTTAAATTCTTGAGTTTCTTGTAATTGTTTATTTTGTGTTATTAAAGTATCGACATCTTTTGGACTTGGATAATAAATTCCATAGGTTTGTGTAGCCGCTTCATTTTTTATGATAAAACTTGGTTGACGAGTATTATTAAATGTTGTATTTGTATTTAACAACATTGGATTAACTGAATGACGTGTTAAAGTCTAGATAATAATAAAATATTTTCTTATTTTATATAATTAAATCTAATTTACATTAGCTATGACTGATGAAGTTGGAATAGATAAATCATTTCTAAATCGTGAGTCAATAACTCGTACAGGTGCTTCCATAACACATCCACATGATGAACAAAATTTAGCATTAGGATCATTATTGGCTCGACATTTCGTACATGAAACTGGTATAGAAGGTTTCTCTGGATATGATCCACACCAATCACAAAATCGAGCATCAATATTATTGACTCGTAAACATTTCGAACAAGTCATCATTGTATCTGATAGTATGGGTACAGATACAGAAGCTCGTATTTGCTAATGAAATATAATTATAAACAAATTCATAGAAAAACAATGGACGAGAAAAAAGTATTTACAGGTGTTGATGTTGGGATTAGTATACTTTCACAGATATAGCATGCTCGTAAATGTCTTGGATTTGCTGATTTACATTGAGGACATATAATTGTAGTCTAAAGAAGAAAATTCATATTGAATGATTTAGAAAATTATTTATATTTAAACCTGATTTTGAACTTTTGGTCTTTGTGGAGGTTCAGATAATCCTGATGTTTCACAAACAGCACATTTTTCAGAATTAAATGGAATTGTAGATTTACAATTTGCACAAGTATTCACCTATATACATAATAATGAAATAAATATTTGTCAAAAGAAAAATGTTTAATTACTGAATGATTCTCTGGTAGAATTTGTGTTAATTTTTTCCATGGTCGACCACATGATGTACAAAATCGTGTATATGCATCAGTCATTTTAGGTGCAAAACAATGAGCACATCTAAACAAAATAAATTTGAATTGTCACGTTTATGTTTTTTGTTTTATGTAACAAACTGTAAAACTTCTGGTGGTTTTTGTGAATCGACATTTATATATTGAGGTGAATTTTCTTGTGAAAGTAAATTATTTCTTGAATGATATAATGAATCTAAAGAAGAATTCAATTAATAAACAAATCAACTTTATCTCTTTATTATTATACCAGGTAAGTTACGATCATGATCATCATGAACTCTTCTCATTAATTCCTAATAAAGAAAAAGAATAAAATAAATCAATCATTTATGCGGTTATGCTTTAGAGATATAGAAAAGATGTTCAAACTAAAACAAATTTTGAAAAATTCCTGCGCATAATTATTTTGCATTGAGACATTGAATTTTGATCTATAATATAAATACAATTGTTTGTATCATATATATTTCATCTAATTTGTTTGTGGATTATAACAATAATTGAAATACGTCTACTACTATTGCTCAGAGCACGTTGTTATACTCGCTAATGAAGAGAGGTGTTGATTGGCTGAAAGTTTGTTTCTAACCTTACAATATAATGAGAATGATGACTGCATCTGTCAAAGTTTCGAAGCTATTAGTCAAGGAAGTGATTAACACTGTTTGCAAATGTTTTGCTTATGAGCTCAAATTAGAAATAATCTTCCATTATGATAACGAGACTTTTGATCTCGATTTCAATAATACGCAAGAAGATGATAAACTATCAATCAAACAGAAGCTTTTGTTTGCAACATAGCGATGATATAGAGTTGAAATCTCTATGCTGTTCTATATTTAAAAATTCAATATTTTAGAAGAAAAGAACGGTGAAGGCGAATTCTTCAAGGTTTACTCTAGTCTCGAAGTGTCTTTTACATGCACAAAATACGAGCACAAAAGGCAACATAGTTATCCGTTTGATATATCAGCCTACTTATGTTGGTCATATGCTTTCATCAATCTGATCTTCCCACTTACTAATATTATAACAATACTTGAATGAAACAAAAGAATAGTATACAGAACACATACAAACTGAAATCCAAGATTCAGGAAAAAAATATTATTCAATTTGTGTCATAGAAAAGAATGTCTCTAAGTCAGACACTATACGTTAATATAGTAATAGATCATTGTATGAAATGCATAAGACAACGATCGATATAAAATAATAAAAAACACAATGAAGAGACTTTATGTTCAGTTCATTTTTTAAACTCTGAACTTTGATTAACTGTGGTAATCATTAACGCCAGATAAAAACATGAATATATCTATTGTAATGTATCTTCATATTAAAAAATAGAATTGTTCAATTCAAAAGTTGTAGTTCAAAACAAATTCTAAGATCTGTACTCAGCATATAGACCTAGATAGTTTCTTTTCATGCTAAATCTTTTACCTTTCGTTCTTGTTGTAATTCATATAAATATCTATTTTCATATTCATCTGATGTTAAATGATCCGATGGAACAATTTTAATGTCAAACATTTTTGTTACCACAATACTTTCTCGTATACCATTACTAAACAAAATTGTTAACTTACTTTTCAGCATAATTCTTTTGAAAATTCTTTTACCGTGATACAGCCACAGCTTTAATTGGTACTTTACCACCATGAGCAAATTCTCTAGGAACATAAAATGGTTTCCTATATTGTATAGTTGATCGTTTTGTTGTTAATGTGATAAAAGCATCCGGTTTTGTACCATCTAATGTATAATATATATCTACATCGCTTGAATCACTACGTATTTCAATTAATGTATTTGTATCAATTAGAAATTGAGGTGTTTGTTCAACACGTAATGGAACTATATATGGAGCAGATATTGAACCAGAGATCATTTTATTTTAAAAATAAAATAAAAAAAAGGTTAGATGCGATGAAACCATCTCAAAACATTTTTATATCAATAGTTGGTTGTTAAGCGACATTAAAATTTTCATATGATTGGTTAATTTCTTTAACCAATAGAGAATAAAAAGAAATCAAGACAATAAATTGTAATAACATAAATTTGTCACATATAATTAAATTGTATATTAAACCGACACAAAAAAAAACGTAATATGGTATTTATACGTGATTTAAAACGTGAATTTTTTGAATTTATTTCTAAACAACAACGCCGTTTACTTGTCTTTGTTCATCTTGATGTTGATAGTTTATGTGCTTGGAAAATTTTTCAACATTTATTACAATGTGAACATATAACATATACATGTTTACCTGTTTTATATAAATATGATGTACAACATGGTTATACGCAACATGAAAATAGTGGAATTAAATCAATTGTATTTATAAATTGTGGTTCAACACTTGATTTATATGATTTTTTATCACTTGATTCAATTGAAAATAAAAATGTTAATGATGAAAATAATTTAACATTATTTGTCTTAGATAGTTTACGTTCAATTGAACATCGTAACGTTTATGATGCTAAACAAATACGTATACTTATTCTACCAAATAAAATTGATATGGAAAAAAAACGTGTACCACAATATGAAGAATTATTTCATGAAATTTATGATGATGATAATGAAGAAAATAATGATGATAGTCAAAGTGATAATGATGATGATGATGATAATTCAAATATGAGAATTGAAAGTACAGAAGGAAGAGAAAAACGACTTAAACGACAATGGTTAAAAAAACGTGATAAAGCATTAGCTAATTATTATAAATATCGAACACATTCATATTCATCAGCATTAATTATGTTTGAATTAGCTTATCTATTATCAAAAGATACAAATGAACAATTATGGTAAGAATAATAAAATTTTTTGCTTTTCAAATAAATTAATTATTTCATATTTTTTAAGGAATGCAATAATTGGTGTCACTGAACAATTATTACACGGACGAATAGATCGTGATTATTCTTCAATCACATGTTCTTCGTTTAAATCATCATCAAAATCTTACACGTTCA